ATTTGCTGTTATGTTAAACTTATATTAAAGTTTTTCTTCATTACTCATTCAAGCCGTCTCCAGCCATTATTAATCTTCAATATTTGCCTCCTATTCCCCTTTGGCAGCTCATTCTTTTTATCATAGTTTGTATTATTAAACAAATCTCTTTTTATCTAATAACCACGCAGCTATTTTTGTGAGAATAGATTTATTTATGTACATCGAAAACAGTGTGAAATGACAACAATGTTCCTTTAGTATTGTATGTGATCGTACCTCATTGTTAGAGACAAAACGTTGTACAGAAATAAATGTTATCACCAAAATGACTGCTTCTAAACTTTATGTTGTTTGCGAGTACTCCTTAAAAAAAGCAACCCTGTAGTGTTCTCTTGAGACAGTGACCTTTGATTTGCCAGCCAGCTCGATCATCTTCACAATTGAGGTATCTGTCAATCGATCTCCAATAACCCTTTAAAAGCTCGATAAATCTTTTCTTTTATAACGAAAATTGATGCTCATGCAACTAATCATCTGTATTTATAGATTTATTACTCTCAGGCTAAACTGATTTCCGCAAAGAGTATTAGGTGGGTCAACTTTAAAACGATAGGGCAAATTACGAAGCAATACTGAATTTAACTAAACTGATTGAGTCTAAGCAAAGAAATAAACAGACTGGACACTGTGTAAAATAAAAAACGAAAACAATGTTTATTAAATCAACAGACACATACACAGTGTGTATACTTGTTTTCTGGACACCGGATAGTCGCCTTGTCACTGAACTCGTGAATTTATGAATTGGTTTTCTTCCCTCAAGATGTTTCCACAACAACCAATGAGCTCATTTGAGAAACCGTGTAGTAGTAATTATATCTAATGTGTCTTACTTAACAGGAAACATAGGATTGACTCATAGTGACTGGGCATTCTCATCTAACAAGGGGCGTAACCTCGAGATACCATCGGCCCTATCAGTGAATGGCACATCTATCAACGACATTCTCGTACAATGTACTGTACGCGTTACACCTGTATTTCCGCAGTTGAAGCAGATTATATCTGAAGTGAACAACAAAGAACCACTGACAGTTAGAACAAAATTAATCAAACAATTTTCTGGACCATGTGTTATGTGAAAACCTGCATAGACCTAGAATAAATAAATTATTTTTAAAATTTCAATATTAAAATGAGATTGAAAAAATAATTGTATGCCTCCATACCGCATAGACTCTTAGCTGTTTTTTTTTTCACCCTCCAACATACAAATGTCTACTTTGAACAAACACAAAGGGAGAACCAGTCTATTCTATTGGTAGAGGTTTCCAGTATTTTCGCCAGTGAGTTTAGCTTTGTCATTTTATGCACCAAAAAAGTTTTGTGGTTAAATTCTACACTTTGCGTTAGTAAACTAACAATGCACAATCAAAGCATATTTTTTATAGAATAAAAAAAAAATTATACTTAGCACTAGGAACAACCAACTCTACTTTGAAACATTATCATCAATTCAGCATATTTTGTCTTGTCTGTCATCTACCATTTCTAGTAAAATTTCAAATACTGACCAACCGATGTTTTTCTTTAAAGAATCAAATGCTTTTAACCACAATTCTCACATTAACTTTCATTTTTCTGCCAGTATTCCTTAGAACTTACTATTAACTACATCTAACCCTTATCTCAAATCCTATGTTGCTTTTTTTAGGTTTTTTACTTTTCAACCATTACTTACTGTTTCTTAAATTATTTCTTGGTATTATTTTTAAAAAAATACAATTTTCTGGTCAGTGTCCTATATTACTTGCTACTTTGCTGTCAATATCCAGTAAGATATTTCCTAGTACTGTAATTTTCTTATTAATGTATTATTTACAGTTGATGGTCATTAGTTGTTAACATAAGATTATTTGTTTAATAATAAATGAGAAAATATACTAAGAATTATTACTCTAGGAATTTGCAGAAACCATGTTTAAAAAATGGCAGTTGGGAATGCCTAATTATTCATGTGACAATTAAAAAATAACTACGATTTTCTTGCAATAACAAATAAATATCATTTATTACAAAGTCATAGTTTATAATACTAAGATATTGATACAGCATGTTATTTGGAATATATCTAATTATGAATTATTCCATTGTTTTCAAATAACATATATGTGAATATGTTGAATAGATATGATTCCTTCTTTACAAAGAGATTTTTAAATAGTTTTTTTAACTTTTAGATTCAGTTACATATCAGTAAAAAAGTACATTACTTATAAGCAACAGCTGAACAACCATAATCTCTTTTAACATTTACAGTTGCTGTGAAATAATAATAATACTCAGTGTTTTAACTTCAAGACATTGTGGGGGAAAAAAACAATCATCAATCAAAAATTATTTCATAAAATAAGTTTGTTAGAACAAACTTTATAAGCAAAGCTGTAAATAACCAAAATTTCGTTTAAAAGTTATATACCTTTGAAATAAAAGTATATGGCAAATATAGATACTTTATGTACTGGTAAAACAGATAATTATTTGGGGATTTCACAAAAATGATGTGTGAATCTGCTCATGTTACTTCCTGACAGCTTTCCTTTTCAAGTGCACACCACAGTGAGCATAGGTAACAATTTCTACTTCTGTATTTCTTGTAATGATTTTTGTAATAACTTTTTCTCATGGTGTCCGTCGCCTAATAGAATATTTTCCTTTTTGGAACTGGGATAAATGAATTCTTAATTTGCTATTTTCTGGAACTCTTTTCACCCAAATCTGAAAAAAGTTTATCTAAAAATTACACAAATTATCAACAACAAAATTACATAAATACAATGAATAGAAACACTTATAAGACAACTTAAGTATTTATACCTGAGTTTGTAATTAAAGTTTTTTACACCATGAATGGCATATTTCAATACTCATACTATAAAAGTTCAAGCTTGTCTCTTTATTCACTATTGGTGGTTAGAATAGCAACTTGTGTACATTTGGAAATTTTGGATTTTTAGCTTTTTATAAAAATAAACTGATATTCTAGTGAATATCACAAATTTAGTTTTTCTTTTGAAATTCAAAAATACGATCAGTGTTTAGAAAATTGTGATGATCAGGTTTTAAATTTCTATCACTTAGGTTTTAGAACCCTCCTCTTGAGGCATAATAAAACCTAAAATTACTTTTTATAATAAACAATAAATACTATAAGAGGATTGATACAAAGTTTGAAAAAATTATTTGGCACATTTCCTTTTGAAGTAAACAAAATAATTCTTACTTCTGAAGAAGCTACAGTGGAGATAACAGCATTAAATTTGCCAACATCTTTGTTTTCAATAAAAACTGGTTGACCTCGAAAATACCTAAAGAAAAAAAAAAACTGCTTAGAATGACTCAACTATTCCAAGTATACAAATCCAACATTTATTAATTTGATGTCTTTAATCTCAGGAAAGTGTATCCAAGAAAGTAACTGACTTTTGTGTTTGTTTAAAAACAGTAGGATGATGAGCAGTTACTTGTATTCTCCTCAGGCTGTTTATAATAGAATTTACAAGTTAGACACACTAAAAGTTGCACATAAGTACCATAAACAAGAGTGTTACTTGTTTCTTGGCTAAAGAATACAAGAAAAATCAAGATGATTACAAACCATTTGGCTCGGTGAGTTTCCTTTGTACACACATTAGACAAACTAAACAGTTGTTTTAAAGCTTATGCAATCCTTTCTTCAAGGCTGCTGAGGCATTATGCAAACTATAAACAGATCATTCACGAGTGGTGATAGATTATTAAAATAAAACTCTAGGAAGTGTTCAGCTGTTACAGTTAATTTCTGCAAATCCTTTTATGTGATAAACTTTCAATGTTTTATAATGCAGTTTTGAAATTACAAAAGAATAAAAAATATACAAAAAAATTTCTGAAAAAACAAAAGTTTTTAAACTTTCATTTCCATTTCATGTTCTTGGAGTTATTTTTAACCAGTCATATCTTTGGCTTAAAGCCTTGAGTGCAACCCTAATGAAGTGATTTAACAGTTAAAAATTTGTTCATTCTACACTTACCTATCTAATGATCACTAACCCTCCAAAATACTAAAAACTACAAGGGATCATCTCAAAACATTTCTCATAGTGCATCATATGAACAATAACGTTTTCAGCCTTGCATACATAGCTTTAAGCTTATTCTTATATGAATAAACCAATCAAATTTCTCACCATTTTTTTTCAAAATAAAGTTTCCCATCTTCAATTTTTGCTTCAATTGTTGATCCTGAGTGATCAGAATGTGCCACAGTTTCATTACCTGAAATGTATAATAATTTTAAGTTAAAAACAAACAAACTTAGTTTACTCATGTTCACATCTTTTGGCTAGTTAAAGACAGGTAGAAATGTTGGTTCTTTCGAAGATTAAAACTAGTCTTAGTGCTAGTTCTCTTAGAGCTTACAGGTCAGGTAGTAGTATTTGTTCCTTCAGAGATTATGGAACAGATAACAGTTTTGATATCTTCAGAGATTAAAGAACACAGAGTAATGTTGGTTCATTTAGAGAATTAAGAATGGGTACTAATGATTGTTGGATATAAATCACTGTTCAGTTTAAGAGTTATTACCAAATTTATTTAGTGATTTAATATTTAATGATTATTTAGTTTTTCTAGCAAGAGTGTTAAAAGTTAATTATTTTAGAAGTAATAGTTATGACAAGTTTAATTATGTAACCCTATACAAGTCATATGTTGTGTATGCAGTTTGATTTTTGTACCAGGCATTTGTAATATCGTTGACATCATTTTACTTAAATCTTATAAGTTTTTCTCACTATGTGAATACTGTTGTCACTAGAGGGCTGGATATTTCTAGATTTTTCTGTCGCATGTTATAAGTATAGAATGAAGTTAAGTTAAAGTAAGTGAGCAAAGTAAAAGTGAAATTAGACTGTGATTGTCAGTTTAGTCATAACAGATTATTTCTAGAGTGAAAGTTTCACAGTTTGTATTGTAACAACAGAATTAGAGAAGAATAATATGTCTTGTCAATTGGATTCTAAAGTAATTGAAATAGCCTGTGTGGAATTTTGACAAAAAGGTGAATTATTTAAAGCTCTGGATACAACTGTGATAACCCATATGGTAACATAAGGGAATTTATCACTGATTGTATTGTGATAACAGAGGAGAGAAGAAATAATTTGTCTTATCAATTTGGTTCTAAAGTAACTGAACCAGCCTGTGTGGACTTTTGACAAAAAGGTGAATTATTTAAAGCTCTATATTTAGCCATGGTAAACAATAGTGTAACAAATTTTTGAACATATGTTTTGAATATATATTATTTAAAAACAAGTGGACCGTGTGCTGTCAGTTTATTGTCGACATTTATTGCCAAGTCACAGACACCTACAGTAAGGAATCCAGCCCTATACAAAAACCTGACAATGATGGTTCATTTTGGGATTAACCCTTTCTGGACTGTAAGGATATCACGGACATCCACTGATTTTTTTTTGCCTTCTCATAGTGGACATATATTAGCAAATTGCATGAAACTTAGAAACAATTTCTTGCTAAATGGTATTTAGTTTTGACTTTAAAAATTACGTAATTTGATTTGCATTTTGTAAAATTTTTTTATAGAAAATTTCCAAAATTACTTCACACTCTTCTGATATAATATTAAAATCACTACCTGTCATTTGAGAATGATTTTTAAAAATTTTTTTATTGAGGATCAGATGAAAAGTACTATTTTATACATACAATCAGTTTTAGTTTGACTGACTTTAATTAACATATGTTTTTTTGATACTTTATTTTATCAATAACAGTAGTCAAGACTTTCAGCTATACATCTTAACAAACATAATCGAAAAGTTGAAAAAAATTTTATCATTGACTTATGACCTAACCTATTAAAGTGGCATAAGGTCAGGCTAGGTAATAATATTCTTCATTGAAATAAATCTATATGTAATAAATAGTTTCTTTTCAATAAAAAGTAAATTATTTTGTCTTCATGTGTTGCTTAAATATGATGAACCTACCAATAATATTCAATAAATATGGACTTGAGCCTTCTGAATATTTTGTTGTCACCTACCCTACTCTATAAACTTACTTAGTCTTCTCTGATGTCTTGCTATAGACAAAAGTTTATGTATCTTTCAAAATACAGCTTAACACAAAAACATTTTCAAGACTGAAAAGAATGTCAAAAGAAATTCTTAAAAAATCCCCAGATCTGTGATTTGTTCCTAAGGCTTTTCAACTTCCCAATGCATGAGCTACATCTAATCACTTTCCTACAAAACCATAAATTATTCCTCACACTACTTTGTTTTCTCTACGTTGATGTAAATTTTTTATAATATGTTCTATACAATGGTATTTAAACTTTGCCTGTAGATGTTTTGAAAGCTGAGTTTCGTTAATGATTTTTTTCAGATCACATGTTGTGAAGTCATGGAAGAGAGAGAACATATATTGTACTTATAAAACCTGTGAAAGTGAAGGAAAATCATGTGAGAAACAGAATACTGATAATTATATTCTCAATGGATGATAGATCTCAGCAAATATAAACCTATGCTTTCAAATGGGCAAAACATTCTAAGAAAAAATCAATAAATGGAATGTTTATAGGCGAGTCTTTTTCGAACTCTGAAAAATATAAGTTGAAATATTTTTCTTCACATTTCATTGAGATTTACACTAACTATATATTACAAAATGACAAAACATGAAATCCAAATAGTTTTTAAATTAAAAAGTTAAAACAGAGTTTGAGTTATTATGTTTATTTAAATTTTCAAATAAACATCAATTTTTGTGTGTCACGTAGTATGTTGAATGCAGCACTGGTTTAAATTAGATGGTAGTGAAGTCAAAATAAAAAGTCTATAATTCTGTAAGAATTAGAAAGTCAAATTACCAATATTGACAAGCTAGAATATAAAATAAGAGCCTCTTATCTTTTAAGTTTGGTAAGATATTGCTCATGTAATAAATCAAATACAGTGGCCCCCCACCCACCTCTTTCATTCTTGGAAACACTCCCTTACATACACATATTTCTATATATAACATGAATAACCAATTGGAAGCTCAGAATATCCCCCTAGTTGCTTTCTCAGCCATTTTAATGGGCTTGGCACCATTACTTTCTTTGGAACCAATATTTCAACAAGGTAGGGTGTGTCTTTAGTCTGCTTTGTTGAGAGAGTTAAGTAACAAGTACTGATGCTGATTCCTTTGAAGATTCAAGAATAAATTAGTTGTTTCACTTAAATATTCGTTTTCACTTTACAGAAATACATCAATAAATTTGATTAAGTTGAAAAAGATGTAAAACTGATATAGATTATTCAAAAATTAGCATTTCTGTACTTCAAATACAGGATTCTTTCTGATGATAATCCTGCTTTTTCAATTAAACTACTAATTAAAAAATGTTTGCCAATATGATTTATACAGCTGTATAATCCTCAACAAACAATTCATAAAGCATGGTTTTGACTGAATTTTATTTTTCACTTCAGGATCTATAGTTTGACCAAATTTCAATAATTTTTTTAAGAACACTGAGAAAATATGGAACAATATGTACATTCACTAGAAATATAAAAGAAGTGTCTAATTTAAATTACTGACTAAAATAACATGAACAACAGTAATGGACAAAATCAAATCAAAATAATTTCTTCATATGTTTTGAATACAGAGTTGTTCCATGAACTCACCTTCTTGTTTTGATCCAACAGGTGCAAGTTTACCCTGTAAGCACAAAATAACTGTGAAATATAGGAGTATATTGAAGAAATCTCTATCATGATTCCAGAAAATGTAATGAATCCAGCTGAATGATTTTTTGAAACTGAAATTAAAATTTTAACAATAGACAGTCAAATCTTTAGATAATATTAAATTATTAAGACCATTAAGAGCTCAACTTTTGTCTGAAAGTAACAATAACACAGGTCTGTGATGGTTTTAGTCTTGAAATTTTTACACGTTCTACAGTAATTCCTGTATGCTGAATCAAAAATGATATCCATTTTTCTCCATCACTTACAGATTTTTCACAAAACATCATATGTACTTTTTACATAAGTGAATCATTTTCACTGAAATTGGGTCACATTTTGTTACGCATAAAATGTTGACAACCACTGACTATAGATTCCTCTAGACCAATCGCAATGTAAGAGTCTTATCAATCGTTCTAGAACCCAGAAGAAACACACTGCTACTATATAAATGGTTAACAAGCTGCCTGATGTGTCATTTCTGGATAGTATTTGTTTGTGCATGCACTTTGACATTATTTTTTTTCTTTTCAATATTATTTATTCATCACTATGGCAACAAGAGGTTGTGTAAATAACCCAAACATATTCTGTTATATTTGTTGTGCAGAAACATCATAGAATGTCGTCACAAAAGCGTATAACACATATTTTGGAATAACACCTGGGGGCCAAGACAAATCATGGGCTCCACACAAAGTTTGCACCATTTGTGTCAAAGAGTTGAGACAATGAACTAAAGATAAGAAAAGGTCTTTGCCTTTTAGAATTCCAATGGTCTGGTGTGAGCCTAGAAATCACAGAGATGACTGCTATTTTTGCTCATGTAATGTGCAAGGCTACAACACTCAAAATAAAAAGGAAATTTCTTATCCGCTGCTATAAGACCCGTTGTTCATGGACCTAATGTACCTGTACCTACTCCACTGGAGTCTCTTGATACAGTTTCATCTGATTCCAAATCTGATGTCAATAAAAATGATGATAGGGATTGTTTTCAACCTGAAACATCTGGAAATGTTTCATCAAGACATCAAAGGAGATATCAGGGAAGGTAGAACATCAGCATGATAGCTGATTACTGCTGGTCATCACAAGATGCTCCAGACACAATACATAAAAGAAACATCACAACATGTAGTTTTTGAGACTAAAAGATGTAGATTTCACACACAACCAATCAGGATGATTGAGGATGCATATTCTTTTGACATCAATGTTCTTCCCTTTTCTTCAGTTTGTTTGTATTTTTGTTAATAAACCTAATAATAAAAAAATTTCATTGTTGTAAACAAAATAAAAATTTTGTCTAAGTTTTTTTCAAAATCCATTATTAAAACCACAACAACTTTTATGAAGTTTAAATTCACAGGCCTGTGTAATTATGATTACTATATATCTAGATATCTACATATTTATTGATTTAAATATACAAAATAAAATCAAACATACCTTATTCAGAATCTTTAAGTCTTCTAAAATGTCATTTTCATCCAAAAGATAATTAAGCTGAGGTAGAAATATTAAAGAAAATAAAAAAACAAAAATAATTTATGAAATTAATGCAACTTTAAGTTCATAATAAAACTGACTTAACCCTAGTGCCCCAGGTGTCCTTTACTGCCCATGACACAAGGTTTTACTGTCTTACATTCAAAATTTTATTATACTACTTTTTGTTTATGTTATTCCAATTAGAATAGCAAAAAACTTGGCTACTAATCCATATCTTAATAGTATAAAAGTTTTAAGTTCTTAAATCTACAAGGGAATGTTAAAAAATATCCTGAATTTCTACTAGTGTGACTCACGCAACACATTTTGTCTTAGCATGTCATCATCCCTATTTTTTTCCATCACCCCTCGAAAATGTGCAAAATTAAACGTAAATTACTCTCTATAAAATTGTTATTGTTCAGACAAACCATAATTTTTTATAGTCTTCAATTTTGTTTGGTTACAGAGCTATCGAATAGAAAATCAGACCCCTCCTGCCAAACCCACCTGTCACATCCTCTCTTTCACAATTCGTTCATACTTCTCTCTTATGTTTTGTTATATGTTACCTATAACCAATAGAAAGTCAAGGCTTTCATCTATCAAATGATGTAT